TCCTTCCTTAACAGCCAAATGTCTGCATAACGACATAACGACAACCCTTTTGACCATATGATTATTTACATGATTAGAAATGTCTTTAAAGTTTAGTATTGCTCACAAAATAGAAACAGGAAATTCTGTCAATGACAAAAAATTAAATAAAAATGCAAGTAGCATTTCCAGTTGTTTTGCTTGTCTTTCTGTCCTCCCCTGTCAAACTTGTCTGGATCTGACATCATAAAGCAGCACAGCAACAGCAGCCACGCCCACCAGAGCAGAGAGAGCCAATCGGATCACAGCTTCGGTAAACCCATAATAGTGGACGTAGTCTAAGAATTGTGAGAAAAATAAAATGTGAATTCTTTTGAGACTTAATCAGTACTAAACCCGGTTTTAACAAGGTAAACGTATGGCTGTTAGTTCTCTTCTGAGCCTTTCATCCCGTTCCCACACAGAGTTTGGATGTTTGCGGCAAGGAAGGCGGGAAAATGTGAGTGAATCCCGTATATTGTAGTGATGGGAAGTCCGGTTCTTTTCCGCGAACCGGTTCTTTCGGACAGTTCGTTTCAATGAACCGGTTGAAAAAAACGGTTCATCGGTTCTTTTACGCCCTAACGTAATGACGTCATAAAAAACACGAACTTCTGCGGAGAGTAATGTTCGCATAGTAGGTGGCGGTAATGCACCTTAACGTTGGATGCCACCCGCCATAAAACATGAAGAAGAAGAAGAAGAGTAACGTTCGCGCTGCGCTGTTGTAACTGATCAGCGCCGCGCTGTCAGTTCGGTGGCGCTAGTAAACACGTCCTCTCTGCGCTGTCGAGTCGGTCGCGCCGCTCGGTCCATTGAGCCGCGCCTATGACACTTGAATACCGCGCCGTTTCGTCCCACATTTGAGTTGTTTGGCTTCCCATAGTTTGGCTTCCCAAGGGGGAATGATCATGCGCGCGCGAGGGCTTGTATTGCGCGCAGAGGACATGTTACGCGCGTGCGAGGGTTTGAAATGAGCTCGCGGGCTCCCGTTTCCTCGCGTGTAAATCTGTTTTCCTCTCGCGGAAGTGATTTACCGTGCGCGCCAGCATCAGTGGTGCGCTTGGTTATTAATGGCATAGGATTGCCGCCATATTCTTGACTCGGGAACGAGAACCGCTCCAGCAGTGGGCGTGTACGTTCGATATCCGGCTCACTGCACACATGCTGCTCTGCTCGTGTTCATCTTCAGTTCTCTCTTCACAGCAGTTCAGTCAGTGTACTGTTTGAGTAAATGAATTACTCCGGGATATTGGTTTATTTCGACTCAGAGGGAGTGTCAGCCACGTTAAAAAAGTGAATAACTTAAGTCATTTGTGGATTAATGCTTACTGGAGACGCGAACCGTTTCAAACGATTCAGTCCGATTTGGTGAACTGGTTCAACCGGTTCACTAAGAAGAACCGGTTAAATCGAACGATTCGTTCGCGAACCGGACATCACTAGTATATTGTAGTTTAGTCTTAGAACACAACTACAGAACTTCAGAACACAAGTTATTCCGGAAATTATGACCGTCCATTTGGTAGTAATAACCATAGTATGGTCAAAGAGTTCATTTCCATAAAACATAGGCAGCACAGAGGTGTTTTTGTCCTTATTTTGAAATCAGCTTGTGTATTTGTGTACTTTTGTCTGTAATGTCACATTCAACATCAAATCTACGACCTGTCAAAACCAAAACATTTGACACTGAGCTTAGTTCATAGTTTTTTTAAAATGTTATATATTTATTTATTTATTTTTGTATCAAAACCATGCTGCTTTATGATGGCTGAAGCAGCTGATAGGTATTACCATTATTTGTTCAGTTGGATTCTGCAAATACTAGGGTATTTTATATCTACCAGTTGACACTTTTTTGGGAGTTAATTTGGTTGTAGAATTTGGTTGTCACTCCATGTATTACAAAAGCATGCGTGTACAGAACGGGATTAAAGCACTCAAAAGAGGAGTGACAATCGCATTTAAAGGGATAGTTCATCCCTGAATGAAATCTCTTATCTCACCATCTGAATGTGTCTGACAGAGTTGAGTGATGTCCAGATGTTGAGTCTGGTTGCTGATGGGATTGTTGAGCACACAGCTGTAGCTGTTTTTATCCTGATATTCCACCTTCAGATGTAAAGAGACGCTGCTGCTGAGATCAGACACACTGATGCTGGACAATAAACTGTTTCCTTTGTACCAGGAGAGAGTCACATGACTCACATTCAACATTGAACACAGCAGCTCACATCTGGACACTGATGATGGAGGATTTAGTGGACAGTATCTGGTGATCACAGGAATGGGGAGATGAGCTGAAGAACACAAGAAAAACAGTAAGAGCTTCTTTGTATGCCAGTGGTTTATTACGACAGTTTATAAACCCAGAAATGCAAGAAAAATAAAGTTGCAAATGCAAATAAGTTTTACTTGTGAGATACAGTATAAAGTGGCAATTTTGAGAAATAAAGTTGCAATTGAACAATGTAAAGTTGCAAAGTCAGCTTATAGATGGTGCCAAGCTGAAAAATGGCTTTTTTCTTTTTTCTTGGAGAAACAGGATACAGTGTTGGGTAGTTCCCATATTTGAATCACTATTTGCCTGAACAGAGAAGTGATGACTTTTGCATCCTCAACTTCCTCATCGAAAGGATTTTATTTCTCTTACCTGATGGTTTAAATCTACTAAAAGCCTTTTAGCTGAAGTGTTCATTCTGGGCTGAGAATTCAAATATGGCGAAGAGCCTGACCAACATGAAAAGCAACCAACCGCAAATGGTTTTGTTTTTAAATGACATTTAGGAATGTAGATTATACCACAGTAACAAACCAAGTGGAAACACTGCCATGGACGACAAGGACGAGGAAATGTTCAAAGTAACTCGCCACATTTTAAAATAAAATATCACATCATAATTAAGAAAATAAGTGTTAATCCTGTAATTAAATCATTTTAATTTTAATTTTATTCAAAACTGCTTTACAGAAAATCATGTCTTAATGCCCAATCCTTGGTTTCCTAGGTTTAAGCGGTGGCCCAACTTACCCCCATATTACCTCATTTCCTAAATTACTATTGTGTTATTACATGTATTCATGGTGATTTTATAATATTGTATTTAAAATAAGATTATGAAAAGAGACAGAAATATGCATAATAATAATACTGTGCTTACCATAGACTTTAACAATGAAATCCTTGCTTGAGACCTTATTTTCAATGACGATTTCTACTTTATAAAGTCCATTGAGTTCTGTGCTGACATTTGTGATGGTCAGAGATCCAGTCTGAGAGTCCAGCTTGAGTCTGTCTCTGAATCTCCCATCAGCACCATTGTGAAACGTCTCATTGTGGACTCTGTTGATTTTAGCAATGTGAGTGTCTTGAGGTCCAAACGTCCACAGTAGCACATTATCTCTCTGCAGTTCAGTAACATCCGTGTGTAGAGTGACAGAATCTCCCTCCATCGCTGATATGGTCTGTCTTTCATCGATCTCAACACCAAACGCACCTGTGGAACAAACATTGGAACACTTTCACAGTCACAACTGATGCTGTTTTACTAAAACTGTAACTAAAAAAACATTTAGAACTTACCAGTTAGATATAATAAGCACAGACAGGAAAAAACAAATGTTTGAAACATTTTGTTTAAGAGGTCACAGACTGCTCGAAGAACCCTCCACAAGTCTAAAACAGCAGACACTTATTTGAAACGAACTCTGAACCTGTTTCTACACAAGAGAGGTGCAGTTCCTTGTTTAGCGGTGAAGTCGTGTAGAGCAACTGTACAGTCAGTGTTTGTGTCTAATTATGTGTATAAACCATCTTGCCATTGTTACTGCTCATGAAAACAATAGCCCTTATTTTTGTCCCCTTAATACAATAGCCCTTATTGTAATCCCCTTAATACAAATATGAAAATCATAACAGTAATATAGTAACTGTGAATTCAGACAGTTTCAGACAGTATTGCACATTTTTGTATGACATTACATGCACTGTAAAAAATGACCGTGAATTTAACGGTAAAAAACTGTAAAAATGCTACAGTAAAAACCTGTTAAATGGTTAGGGGTAAGTTCCCCTACTATATACGGTGAAAAACTGTATTGGACATTACAAAAAGACTGTAAAAATGCTACAGTAAAAACCTGTTAAATGGTTAACGGTAAGTTCCCCTACTATATACAGTGAAAAACTGTATTGGACATTACATGTTATTTTACGGTTAGTAAACCTTTTTTGGAAGTGAAAAAGAGCATATAATTTACATTGAATAACCGTAAATTGACATTCCCAGAATTCCCTGCGGTTCATTTCAAATTTGATGTATTTTTGTTGAAATAACTATGTTTCTTCTTAGTTTTTTCTTATCCGTTTTTGTACATTAGGGTTGTATGTTACCTAATAACATACATTATCTAATGTTGGTAAATTAATGTTTATTGCATTATTTAAGTTTCATGTGTGTTACCATGATGGTGTTTAGTGTTTGTGTGAATGACACTGTGCGCCTTCTATATATGTTATTATTTAAAAGCTGCTTGTGATAGGCTTTGGTTCATCATGTGACTTTCATCACCACCTGCCTTTGGTGGTTATCAGTGTATTACAAAGGTACAAAAGTTTCAGTACTTCAATAAGTTGGTATATTAAAACCGTAAAACCTAAAATGTTGCTACTGTATTTTTTTACGGTAAAATTCTGGCAACCACAGCTGCCGTTTTTTTTACTGTAAATTTTACGGAATTTGTTTTACAGTGTACCCAATAATGGGGAATCTATTATTCACGTTTTACTTTGGTGCATGTGAACAAAAAAAAAAAGTGTTTTAACAGAACATATTTTGTTATACATGAATTTACTTTACTACATAAAACAGTTTGTTGGTATATGAACTTTATACCATAGTATATGAACAAAGTACTGTGTTGTTATTTGTTACTGTATGATTTGTATTTGAAAAGTTAAAATGAAAAATGCATTACAGGTAACAGAACAAGTGCATGGCAGGTCTTTTAGACTTACACTGCAAATGCAATATTTAATGTACATACCTATTTTAACATATCAGAATTTTTTTTGTCCCGTCCATTCATCACAATGTCAAACATCGCAATTTCAGGTTATCAATTTCATATCAACCACATTTCAATTATCTTATCATTCAGTGTTTGATATCTCATTTCATTTATTGCCAACTGTGTATGGACCCTTCTTGTGTTTAATTTTGAAAGTGACTATACTTTTAGGGTTCAAATGTTTATGGTGAGTTTTTGAGGACACAAATAATTTCAAAATGATTCAAAAGCAGCCCAAGTTTAGAGGTAAAGTTTACTGTATGTATTTTTGGCCATTGCAGATGTTAAAGCTTGGTAAATGAAAGATGTTTGTCTTTCATCCTCTCAGGTTTCCTCCTTATCCAATGATCTGATGTGAACAAAATGGCACAAGAAAAACAAAATATTATAAGATACAGTCATGATCTTTATTGTCTGTTAGCTCCTACGTAAAGTTTATTATTGTGATCTTATGAATTGCACTTACGCCACTAATCCAGCTGATGTATGCAGACACACGAGTGAAGACTGTTGGCTTCTTGTAGGCGTTACAACCCGATGAAGACACAAAGCTGGTCACACCGTGAACAACGTACTGACCACTGACCTGACAGTTTAGAGGACCACCAGAGTCACCCTAAAAACAACCCAAAAGGGGCCAAAATTAGACTTTTTTTTCCACAGAACCAAATGACTTCTCATATTTTATGATCTGTTTGAGAGTTAGTCTTTCTCACCTGGCATCCAGACTCACTTCCGCCACCAGCACAAACCATAGTGTTCTTCACGGTGCTTCCCCACCAGTCGCTACGAGAGCAGGTACTGTAGTCGACCACGGGCAGATAGGCCTGTTTCAGCTGAGCTGAGAGTGACCCCCCAGCTGCATGAAGATCAGAGGAGAGAAATGAGTCAGAAATGATTTCAGGCAACATCATGGCTGATTTGTTGTACTTGAAGCTAAACTGACTCTGTGTGCGGCCCCAGCCGGTGATGTAACAGGGGTTGTTGTGGGGCAGAACTTGTCCAGAGGGTGGCAGGCTGGCCAGCTGCACGTATGAGTTCAGAGAGGCGTCGGAGGACAGACGCAGAAGGGCGATATCATATCTGAAATGCACAGAATGGACAGTGTACAAGTCACATTTCACACATTTATGATGCTAGGGGGCGTTATAACTGAAACGATCATGTTGTGTTGATGTGTATAATTGTACATTTATGTTGCATTAACATTAAGTCTAAAAGTTGATACAGTCAAGTAAGTGGTGTTGATATTACGTGAAATTGTTGATATAGTTGTATATACTGTGTCAAAGTTGTATTGTGTGATTGTTGATATATGATATGTTGAAATTACTGTTTTTTAATGTGTGAGGAATAATTAGTCAGCTGGTCATTATTCCCATACAGCAAAAAAGTTTTTGTTTTTTTCCCCCCAAATATATATAGTATACAGTAAATATATTTACTATCAATCTATATTTTGAACATTTTTTTAAAATATATTTTATAAATATAAATAATTAAATTTTTAAAGCATTTAAAAATATATTGTGCCCTATGTATTTCAATCCAAGAAAATACATTCACATAGGCCACACATTTTACAATGTTTAAAAATAAATAAATTATCAAAAGAGACATCTTTATTGGTTTCAAGTTAGTGGCATAACTATACATGTTAAACAAAGTAATACTGTTTGTGTGCACTTTATAACAAGGCATGATAAGTTTGTAGGATTGTTTTGCACAAAGTATTAAACATTCCTAAAACGTCCATAAACATAAAATAACTTGGAAAAAAAATCATTTGAAAAATTGTAATTACTTTATACTCGCAGTTTGTGAAAATGTTATATATAGTCAGAAAATGTAAAAAATATTAGTTAAATACAGTTTTATTTATCATATGTTCTCATATTTAGTGTTTATTTTGAATGTGTTTGTAAAGTCATAGTTTTGTTATAATCCTATTTCGATCTGTTTACTATTTGCAATAGTTACTATTTGTATTTCATAGGGTGATTTTTGGTGAATTGTACACCTATTAATAAACTAGGGTAAGTTTGATCCTCAAACATTATTGCAATGATTAATTATGATATTAATATATGGAAACCACGACAATTAAAAAACAAAAACATACACAAATATATTGTCCCCGTTTTTTAATTTGTAGATAATCACAAGTGAGATTTCAATGATATTTTGACCACTGAGCTAGGAAATGTCCCTGGTTTTAATTTCAGAAATCTGGTCACCTTATGGAGTACTAGTTGCTTGACAGTTATTAATTAACAAATCTCTAGCTGAATGCCGCGATTACCCACAATCAAGCAGTTCAGAGAACCACAAAGATGAAGAAGAAAAAAAACAGCTAAAACCAGCCTAAGCTGGTTTTACCTGGTCGTCCAGCCTGGTCATAGCTGGTCAGCAGGTTGGTTTTAAGTTTTGGCCACTTCTTTAACTGGTCAGGCTGGGAGACCAGCTCAAACCAGCTAAGACCAGCCAAACATCTTAGGCTGGTTTTAGCTGTGTTTTTTTTCCAGCAGGATATAAATACAGTCGAGTATGTTGAGTTAAAGTTGAATTGTTGAGGCAGTGAGATATGTGCAATTGTCAGTATAATACTGTTGTATTTAAAGTTATGTATCGATACAGTCTAGTTAGTGTTGCGTGTAATTGACGATATAGTCGTATATTGTGTATAATTGTTGCCACAGTCATGACTCATGTAGCCTATGCTGTGTATATTAGGGGTGTAACGATTCACTCGTTTTCTCGATGCATCGATTACAAACAGATCTTGAAATATCGATTGATGAATCGTGAATTGTCGATTTCGGACAGTAATCGATTTTAAATGCTAAGAATCGAATGAATCGCGATTTCTATAGTGATTCAATACTTTCAAAATATGTACACATTAAATTACTACAGGCACGAATTAATGAAGACCTTGAACAGTGTTCGTGCCCTCGCATCTCTCCTTCACGCGCTGCACTATTTCCCGCCTGTGACTGTCACAGGATTGCGCTCGCGCTCCGTTCGTCTTCACTGACACATTTTTTGGGCAGCTGTGTGTGATCTCTCCTTAGTACTCGTGGCCAGTAATGCTAAAGTGAAGTAGTTTTACTTTTCTGTAGTTTTTCAATGGCTCTCTGTAATACCGACGGACGACATTACCTGAGCAGTTCGAAGGCTGCGCATTTATTGCATGGACGGAGCAAAAATGTAAGTGTCTAAAGCATACGCACAGTTCCATTGAATGATAAATGTGTTTTAACAATGACGTTCAACCGAATGTACGAAGGAAACTGTTAAAATAACCACAGCATTAACAACAACCTTGAAATAAGAGCCATAACCATAAAGAACCATTTAAATAATCTTGTGAATGCACTTAAAGAATGCAGAATCGAATCGTTAATCGAATCGAATCGAATTTAATTGTGAATCGAATTGAATCGTTCTGAATTTGCAAAAATCGTTCTTGAATCGAATCGAAAACCTATGAATCGTGAATCGATTCGCTGTCTACCCAAAGATTCACAGCCCTAGTGTACATATGTAATGTTTACACACCCAGAAGCCACACTGTTGCTGTTCCAGTTGGGGTGGATGTAGACGGCGCTGACGCTCATGTACTGCTCGCGACCCTCCTGGTTGTAGATGTCGTGGTCGCCCAGAACGACACGCCAAGTTCTCGAGCTGCACAAGAAACACGTTTAAGTGAACACAGGTAGAGTCAGGAAACAAGTGTACACTACACTTGTGGATTTATTACATTCCGTTTGCACTGACGCTGTCCTTAAGGCGAGAAAATTATCAGAAATGTCTCAGTTTTTTGTATGTTTGTTTTTTCTTAACGATCTAGGTACAGATAACAATGGATTCATTACGTGTCGACGCAGTGGGCGGCAGTCATCACCCATCTAGTTCTGATCAGAGTCCCACCACAGGTATGATAGTAGCTGCCACCCGACAGGTACTGGAGAGAGATCTGAGAAAGAGACAATGACTTTGTTACAATTAGAAGATTTGAGGGGGAAAACAGTAGAAACACCCTCATTTCAATATGACTGGCCTTTTAAACTTGCAAAAAAAAAAAATAACCCAAGAAGCTGACTGGACTTTATTTATGCAGAAGAATGCGGCTTCAAATGGGTTTACTTGTTATAAAGCTGGTTTTAAATGATCATTATGGTGGGGCTGATGCCAACCTGCCTTGTAAACCATCTTTGTCAAGATTGTTAATGAGACAGCAACTAATCTTCTACCACATTAAGAAAAACAGCTTGACCACTTAGTCGTGGAAAATCATCAAGACAGCTTATTGAGTTATTGTTCAAATGTTTTACCTGCCAGGGCCAAGAGTTGGGTTTTGCCACCGCTCCACCAACGACCCTCTCCTCAGGGACCTGATCCTCCAGATATCTGGGCTCAGCCAGCGCTGGACACAAAAAACACACTTAGACATGTTAAAATTGCAGTATTATTGTAGTTTGAGTCCATATAGACTCAATTTTTAAAGTTCTGATTATTGCATGCATTTGTTAACTTGGCAAAATCTAAGCTAAACACAAATGATTCTCTCGATAGAAACAGACAAACGTCTTACCCAGGGCGGCCAGCACGCTTAACAACAGGATCCTCAGCATGTTTGCAGTCTGTCTGAACTTTCTGCCCTCTGAACACTTCTGTCATTCATATATATGCCCGCAGTTCACAAGTAAAGTGCAGTATCTGTGTTGTCACAGTAATGTTACTGAATTAGTGTAAAGAGAATTCATCCTGCTGTCGGAGTAACTGCAACTGCTCGAATGGGGTTCCAGGACAGTTTTTCTGCTGAACACTAGAGGGAGGCAGTGCACAGCATACTGAAACCTGCACATTGATTGTATTATTTTCTGGCCAACGGTGTGGCTCAGAGGCTTCTTTTACCTTCTATTTTTTTCACTGTTGAAGCAAACATCATATAGATACATAGATGTGTATAAACAAGCTGCCGGGTTTTTTTACCGTAAATTTTACAGAATTTGTTTTACAGTGTACCCAATAATGGGGAATCTATTATTCACGTTTTACTTTGGTGCATGTGAACTGTTTTAACAGCATATTTTATGTTATACATGAATTTACTTTACTACATAAAACAGTTTGTTGGTATATGAACTTTATACCATAGTATATGAACAAAGTACTGTGTTGTTATTTGTTACTGTATGATTTGTATTTGAAAAGTGAAAAGTTATAGTTAAAATGTACATACCTATTTTAACATATCAGATTTTTTTTATCCCGTCCAATCATCACAATGTCAAACATCGCAATTTCAGGTTATCAATTTCATATCAACCACATTTCAATTATCTTATCATTCAGTGTTTGATATCTCATTTCATTTATTGCCAACTGTGTATGGACTCTTCTTGTGTTTAATTTTGAAAGTGACTATACTTTTAGGGTTCAAATGTTTATGGTGAGAGTTTTTGAGGACACAAATCATTTCAAAATGATTCAAAAGCAGCCCAAGATTAGAGGTAAAGTTTACTGTATGTATTTTTGGCCATTGCAGATGTTAAAGCTTGGTAAATGGAGGATGTTTGTCTTTCATCCTTTCAGGTTTCCTCCTTATCCAATGATCTGATGTGAATAAAATGGCACAAGAAAAACAGAGTATTATAAGATACAGTCATGATCTTTATTGTCTGTTAGCTCCTATGTAAAGTTTATTATTGTGATCTTATGAATTGCACTTACGCCACTAATCCAGCTGATGTATGCAGACACACGAGTGAAGACTGTTGGCTTCTTGTAGGCGTTACAACCCGATGAAGACACAAGTCTATATTTTGAAAATTTTTTGAAAATATATTTTATAAATATAAATAATTAAAATTTTAAAGCATTTAAAAATATATTGTGCCCTATGTATTTCAATCCAAGAAAATACATTCACATAGGCCACACATTTAAAAAAAAATCTATTATCAAAAGAGACATCTTTATTGGTTTCAAGTTAGTGGCATAACTATACATGTTAAACAAAGTAATACTGTTTGTGTGCACTTTATAACAAGGCATGATACGTTTGTGGGATTGTTTTGCACAAAATATTATACATTCCTAAAACGTCCATAAACATAAAATAACTTGGAAAAAAATCATTTGAAAAATTGTAATTATGCTCGCAGTTTGTGAAAATGTTATATATAGTCAGAAAATGTTAAATGTAGGACTATTAATAATCTAGGGTAAGTTTGATCCTCAAACATCATTGTAATTATTAATTATGATATTAATATATGGCAACCACGACAATTAAAAAACTAAAACATTCACAAATATATTGTCCCCGTTTTTTAATTTGTAGAACTTGTCATTTTGTTTAAATAGCTTTGAACAGCTTTGTAGTTTATTCTGCCCTCTGAACACTCATCCATATATATGGCCGCAGTTCACAAAACAGGTGTTTTCTATCCTCCTAAACTTTAATATTTCATGTAGAGCACAGAGATCTTACAACTCAGGTGACTAAAGAGACCTCATATGTTACAAGACTGCTAAAAACACATTTACTATAACTGTAAAGTTCAGTATCTGTGTTGTCACAGTAATGTTACTGAATTAGTGTAAAGAGAATTCATCCTGCTGTCGGAGTAACTGCAACTGCTCGAATGGGGTTCCAGGACAGTTTTTCTGCTGAACACTACAGGGAGGCAGTGCACAGCATACTGAAACCTTCACATTGAATTAATTATTTTCTGGAAACTTCCAACGGTGTGGCTCAGAGGCTTCTTTTACCTTCTATTCTTTATCACTGTTGAAGCAAACATCATATAGATACATAGATGTGTATAAATGGATAAATGGATAGATGTACTACACAGGTAATCTATTTGCTTCACTCTGATTCTGTGTTTTGAAGAGTTGCTGACCACCGCTGACCTCAATGTGATGACGTGACCTTGCACTATGACTGAAAACATTTATTCTTCTCACTTCTTTTCAAAGGTCACATGCTGGTCACTGAGGTGCCTTCAAGGAAATCACGTCCCATTTAAATCTGGGGAAAATCTGATCAGTTCTGACTGAATTGTTTGTCTTATCTCAAACATAGTTTTCTCTTACTGTATTTGTGTAGATTTCTCAAGATGAATGTTAATAGATTATGCATAATTTTTCAAGTAAATATAATGTAAATATTAAAAAAAAATACTTTTATTATATGAAATGTATCTAATATTAAAATAAACAAAAGTTTTTATAATATTATTTAATAATGAAATATTTAATGTTATATATTTAACTTATGTAACAAAATTATATAATATATAATTTATATTATATTATATAATTATAACTTATATATAATTATAACATAATTTAAAACTTTAAAAGATGTACAAAAAAAATCCTCCCACAAAATTGGCCATTTTTTTCTGTAGACAAATAGATATTATATATTATGTTATTGTATAATATTTAAATGTGAATAAATGTGACTATTTCAATTTGAATATTATATTTCTTAAAAAATATGACTAAGGGGCAGTAAGTAAATAATGAACAGAAGAGGGCCCAAAACTGAACCTTGGGGAACACAAGTGGTAACTAGAGATGGCTTTGATCGAAAATGTTCAAGTTGTACAAACTGAGTGCTAGGGGGATGTTATGAGAGATTTTATCAAAGGCTGCACTCAGATTGAGTCATCAGACCAGAACCTGCTGCCATCAACAGGTCATTAGCGATTTTGACAAGAGTAGTTTCTGTGCTATGATGTGGACGAAAACCAGATTGAATATTATTGAATAGTTATCTTTTATATAGTTTAAGAAGAAAAACCACCATAACAACTAAATAATGAAGGAAAGTAGGATGACATGTCAAAGATTCAGGCCTTCTATACCAATACAAATTTTGAGTTTGAACATCGTAGAAACGTTTTTAAGCTAAAAATCACGAACAGTAGGGCATTTACCAGACTGACTCAACACTTGAGAATCTTTCATCGTTTCTTGCATGAACGTCTAACTCTTTGACATTGACCTTCACTTTGGTTTTAGCTTCATTTAGTTCATTCCCAGCTCAGTCTTCAGTCCTGAGCTCATAAAAACTTCTTTCACACCACTTCACGATGCAAACAGCCACCGTCCAAAACTCGCACAAAAGATCTGAGCACAATAGGAAGGCCAAATCACCTTTTATACTGTCACTAATTAAAGCAGAAGTCATTAAAGTGCTGCGTTTGGATTATTCTCTTATCAGAGTCCATTAGAAAGATAGCCGTCCTGACTGGTAATTGAGCCGGCGCTGATGCCAACATTTGGACCTTTGGGATGAGACCAGGCGCGGCCCGTCCACGGCTCTACCACTTCACACAGGCTTCAGTTCCATCATCTGTCGCTCTCACAGCACCTCTGAGAATCATGCGTGAATCAAACTTGCGGATCAGAGGATCAGGGAGGATGTTTTAATTAAAGATGTTTGTTCATGATAGAATGTCATCACTTAATGAAGGGAGGATTTGAGCTCATGAGTTTGTGAAGTTTGAAAATTAATGACTTGTGCTGATGAAATTCAAGGGGGGCCTTCAGAATGTTTCCGAGAGGTTTCCATGTACGGAGAATGAAACAAGTCCAGATTTAGTGAGAACTTGGTCACATCAGACTTTCAAACATTTAGATAACCCCAAAAAGTTGGAGTAAATAATCTAAATGGTCCACAGGAAAATACCCTGTACTTTGATATTTTCCATGTACACTATGTAAAACACCAATTTTCAGGTTGTGGTTGAAACTGAATCTTTGAAATCTGAAAATGTATTTCATAATCTTTTTGGTTCATCTGATACATTTTAAAGCTAAAACAGTGGGGAAAGTCTCTTGTTAGATAGCAGATGACTTGATTTGCTGTAGATGTTTCAGAATTTTAGATGAAGAGAAATGGTAAATACCAGAGCGAATGTCTCTTTGCAAACAGCCTCAAACCAGCAGTAAAAATGTGTTTTAACTTTTGAGTTATATCAGAGTTCTTTGTAGAGGCTATATAAAGATTATGCCAATAAATTATACAATATTTATTTCTTTATTTTGCTTTTTTACTTCTGATCATTTTAATTTATAAAATTAAATGCATAGTTTATTTTTAAATATTTAACATTTCATTAAATATTTTTATTGTGGGTGCTTATCCTCCATAGAAAAAAGCAAACTAACAGACTCAATATAATAAGGTCACTTTGTGTTTTACTATAGATTCTGTTTAATACCAACACACATATTACAGTAAGAACTACCACATGCCTATGTCAATTGTCAAAACAACTCAAACTTTATATTCACACATAAGCACTAAATACTGTTACAGATTTACAATACCACACATTTAAAGCTAGAACTAAGTACAGAAAAAATCCCTCACGTCAGGCCAACTAATGCACGTCTGCTTAACTAATACTAATACAAAACGAGACAAAAAATGACTCGGCGGGAGAAACAAACCGGTTTACCCGGTCTTGAGTTGCTATCTGTCGGCTGATGCAGCGCTTCCCTCCCGTACTTAGTGCTCGAGCACGTTTTTGCGTTTCTCAAGAAGAAATGTTTTTCGACTTTTTGGAGCGCTGTACAGACTGATCGGCAAATGTTATCAAAGTACCACGAGAACGAAGCTAGATGTCTAGTAGGCCGCCAATGACGTATCTCGTGCGTTTCTGTGGGTGCTCGGCTAAATCCGTTAGCGGGGGCGCCACAGAAGAAAATATTATTTCAAGAGCAATTAATTCGATTAACGTCTGCTTTCTGGTTTGCATGACATTTCAAAACACCAGAATTAAACCCGTAGTTACGGAATGAAAGATATAAACGGAATTATAAATGTTGGGAACCCTATAAAAGATACTTTCACCAAATGACAAATAAACTAAGTTTAACTATCCAAATCATGTCAGTTTCAAAATTTCGCATAATGTTGGTATAACACAGAAAATGCTTAAACTGCTACATTATTTAACACAACAATTAAAATGAGCACAATGGTAATGAACTTACGTCTATCTCCATCGTCCTCCATTAACGAATTTAGTAACTTCTCACCGCTTCACTTTCAGACATGGTGCTGTCCTATGGGCTGGGGGGTGGTGGAATAAAATTACCGTGTCAGTCTTGTCATTTACTAAACGTTAAAACATCCTTTAATATGGACCTACGATTTTTTTTACATCTTAGTTTAACGTTACCCGTGAAATGGTAAACTCAAGACTGAACGGCGGATCAAAAGCGCGCGAAATTAAACTGAGGTAAAAAATGCTGACAGAGTTAAGTCAACCATATACCTTACTGATTATCGATATTATGATAATTTAATACTTATTTTATTACTTAAAGAAGAGTATGCAATGTTGACTTTGTGTATTAATCTTGTGATAAATTAGAAATAATCATAACTTACTTTGACCGTGTCAATGTTTGGGTAAAATGAGGCAAATAATAAGTTATTTTTCACACAAACAGTATAATATAAAACAAATACAATTTGCTTTAGTGATGATACACATTCATAAATAAAATCACAAGTTGATAAATTAATAATACTATACCTTGTAACCGTTGTGCAGGCAAATCCATAAAGGAGAGCGCGTAGGATGGGCGGGGAGATCGAAAATGCTCTGCACATGCGCAGATGTTGATTATATGTGAACACCCAAAGGAAACACTGTGCATTATCACTAAACAAGTGATAAAGCATTTAATATTTGTAAATGAACACCAGATTTTATCACTAGCTGCACAACACTAGGTTTTTATTACTCAGTAATTTGCTGTGCAGGTATCCTGG